AGATATTTTGCTCTCTCTCTCTCTCTCTCTCTCTCGTTTATGTATTCCTCATTTATTACTTTTTCTCACATTCCTAAAAAATCCTACTTATTGATCATATATATTCCCTTTGTCTGAGGAAGATGGTATTAGGAAACAGCGTAACCCAGTACAGTGGAATTAAGATTTGGCAATGTATCTCTGTAGCTCCTCCCAGTTTTAAAATTCTCTGAATCTCTGAAATTGAAAAATCAGAAATTTGAATAGGTGATGCTTTTGAAATCACAGTGGAACACAGTTTTTCCCATACCCCCTTTTGGGGTGTATGTGTGTGTGTGTGTGTGTTTACTCAACATGTGTATATTTTCCACTTTCCCCATCTGGCATCTGCTTTAGCACCAGCTTCTCTAGCTGTTCTGTGTCAAGAGTACTTTAGCCTTTTCATTATGGAAGGGAAAGAAATGAAATAATATAAAAAAGAAAATCCTTCCACCAAGCCCGCTCCACCTCACGTTTTGTTTTGTTGTTTCTAAGCAAGTTTCTTGCCATTTACCTTTGCATTTGCATTGCTTATTGATTGGCAATTTTAAAATTGTTTATTGTGCTCTTTTGTTTCACTGTTCAAGAGCTAAAACAAAAGCTACCAGGCCCTTCGAGGTACACATTTGCATGCGGTGAGCGTTGCCCGAGGAAAAAGTAATTGCTAATGCATATTTATGTGGCACAAATTTGCCATTTGTTTATGCATAAAATTATCAATAGTGCAGGGCGGCCCAGCCGTAGAAAATGGTGACCTTTTTAGCTTAATAAATAGAAATCAGCTGTTATTGTGAAGAGATCAGCCATTTATTCTGTGTTGAGGGACATTGCCGGGAAAATGCAGATTGGGGCTGGCAATATCATTAAATGGAAGGCCAATGACCCTTTCGGTAGAGTCTATTATACTTTATCTAATAGGGGATAAATGGCTCTGGTTGGCAATTGGAATAAAGAACAACAGTTTTTGTTGTTTTTTTTTCTTTTTAAAATTTCAATCTGTAATTTTATAACTATATGGATTTTAAGCCAGTAAAACCGAACAGGGAATCTCAGGCTGACCTGTTGCTAGAATTATCTCAAAAAGTATCTGTTTTCGATTTGTTTTTCCTGTTCATTACTTTCTATTTTGATTTGTACCCATTGAAACAAAGAGTAAGTCAAATGATGTTTTTTGTTGTTGTTTTCAGGAAAATAGATCTTCCTTTAGTTTTTAGCTTTCTTGTTCCTTTTTTTGGCCATACTTTTATCTTTGCACTGCAGATAATTTTGTGTTTTTCAGGGTTGTTCTGTATTTGATGTTTTAAAAATACTATAAGTAGAAGAAGCTATCCCTATATAAAGTTACTAACAGATTGTAAATTGAGGGGTTTTTTTGTTGTTAAGCTAAACATGATACTTTGTAATTGATAAGAAGGGCATTTGAAGCAAGTATGTGGGTCGTTTGCATTAAAGACTATTCTATAAATATAAAACCTTCTCATGGGTGTGTGTGTGTGTATGTGTTCTTAATACATTTAAAAAACCCAGCAGATAGTCATGTATCTTTTTATGGTGGTTTTTCTGCTGATTCTGATAGAGGAAATGCCTATGAGCTGGTCTATGACAGTGGTTTAATGTGTAATCTCATACTACGTTTACTTGACTAATATCTCTTCGGTCTATTATGAGCATTTCTGCCTTTCAGGATTTTTTATCCAGTTTTTTTCAATCATTATAGAATTCACTATTAAATTGAAGTTACATTTGTTTTTTTCAATATTATCTAATATTTTATGCTCTCAAAATTTTATGTACGTTTAGAAACAAGATAATGGAACAGAGGAGGCCTGCCCACGCACCTCAGAGCACAGTGAGCTCTAGGGAGCAACCTGCGCGGGCTCCTCCCTGGTTGTGTTTCTTAACACAAGCACGCCCACCAGGTTTAAAGTTTCTACAAGAGCAGGTCTGCAACCACCAATCTTTCCCTCCTGCTGCACTTTCCTATGACATTGCATTCTGCTGCACGTCACCGGAGTGACTGAGGAACCTTTTACCGGCAGAAATGGGTCTGTTGGTCCTTTTTAAAGTAGAGGGTGTAAATAGGATTCAGACACTAGGGTACATTAGTCCATAAAATGAATATATTTTTTATGTCATTTATAAGGTATTGATTTTAGGTCCATTAGATTCACAGTCCCTAGTGGGAGAAAAAACAATGATTTAATGGATAGGTTGGAATTCCAGAAGGAAGCACAACAGCAGCGATTAACCCCTTCTTCTTTCACTCCCTGCCACATTATTTAACATGGTGGAGTAGCTGAGGGCTCTAGGGGAGAGGGGCAGTTTGTTCTCTGTCTTCCTTGCACTCTATGAGGGATCACAAAACAAATTTCAGCTGGATTATTACTGTCTCTGAATGTGAGAGAGCAGAGCACTCTGGGTTGGTAAGAGTTGCTCTAGTTTGTTTTTATAAGGTAGTTTTTAAGTTGATGATTGTGTTTTGTTTTTACAAAACCTAGAGCATATTTATTTGGAAAGTCGTAATTTATGATACTGTTTAGGGAGATCATAAACTATGAAGGAATAAAGCTTACTTTTTTTTTAAAGAAAAAATTTTTATTCTCAACTCTGAGAAAGGAGAGTTCATTATAGTGTTATGCCAGTTATATCCTTTCTTAAACAAGTTTTAAGTAATATTAGTGAGAATGGCCATCACAGTAATTTTTCTAGAACTTCAAGATGTAAGTTTAATTGTGAAAACCTTTAGAATCAATTGTTGCTGTTACCTTCTTTAAAAATTGTTAAAACCTAAATTATATCCTTAAAGTATTTATAAATAAGACTTCATATATTCAGTGACAAATGAAATAATAAAATATGGAAGAAAACATTGTGATTAATGGATTCTACAAATGCATAGAAAGTTATTGGTTTACACAAGCTTCTTTTCTGTTAAAAGGATGACTGAAATAACATTTTACTTCTATGTCCAGAGCACTCATAATAATTCTAGCAATTTATCCCAACTAATGTTACCACCACCTAAAAGGAATTTTCTCTTAGGCTTCCTTTGGCATTTACATTTCCCTTCTTATATATGAAAAAATATATATATAGGTAGGAAATTTGTAAAAATTCTTATACTTTCAATTATCTGATGTACTGTATGTTAAGGTTGAATAAAATTATGCCAACCAAAGTTTGACTTTCTTAAAAATTGACCTGACATAAAGAATATGGTATCAATAAACATTTTTAGAATTTTATATTTTAATTCAAGTTTTTCAAATTCTATTAAAAAATGTAAAAATCCAGGCTCCCTCTTGTGGGTAAAATTACCACCTGTATATTCTGTGTTGCCAGCATACAGGTTATGACAAAATTTCTGTTTCATTCTTAAGTAAATTCTGTGTGGTCTCTTTATTTGGTCAGATGTGACATTTCACTTAATTGAAAAAATGTAGAGTGTAGGGTACTTTTTTAGTAACATTTTTAATGAAAAGGATTTTTTTTTAAATTAGCAGACTATGTATAGACAACCTTTGCTTTACTGCAGCAGTATAATTTCTTTTTTTTTTTTTTAAGATTTTATTTATTTATTTGACAGAGATCACAGGTAGGCAGAGAGGCAGACAGAGAGAGAGAGGAGGAAGCAGGTTCCCTGCTGAGCAGAGAGCCCGATGTGGGGCTCGATCCCAGGACCCTGGGATCATGACCTGAGCTGAAGGCAGAGGCTTAACCCACTGAGCCACCCAGGTGCCCCGGCAGTATAATTTCTGATGTTCAAAATTTTTAATAACTTTTTTCATTTTAGAATACTCTCCAATGGGATAATTAGCAAACTAATGAAATAATGTGGAGCTTGCTTTTTTTTTTTTTTTTTAAGAGAAAGTGAGAGAGCAGGAGGAGGGGCAAAGGGGGATTGTGTGTTAGAGAGCGAGAGAGGGAGAATCTCAAGCAGGCTCCACACTGAGTGCAGAGCCACATGTAGAAAACTAAGAATATGACCTGAGCTGAAATCGAGTCAGAGGCTTAATTAACTGAGCCACCCAAGTACCCCAATAATGTGAAGTCATCAGTGTGGTGACTTTTGGGTTTCTGTGTTTATTAGCAGAAGTTCTGATACTGGAGTGAAGTAACATCCCTTCCTACCCATCATGCTCCAGACAGATACCATATGCTAATAAAACTACTCAAATGCCCTAAATCTTGTCATCAAAACTGAATAATCAATGGCGTAGTAAGAATGAACACAGAAGCATTACCCAGCTCTCCCTGGATTGAACTAATACTGAATAAACTGGTCTGGGACCCAGGCTATGGCTAGACCACCATGTATGGGTTCCCTGCTTTCAGAAGTCTGACACCTAGGAATTTCAGCTGAGTAGCAGAGGCCATTTCTGTCCAGCCTGGGAAAACAGGCCAGAGCTTTTGTGCACTCGTGAAAGTGGCAAGAACAGTATTTCTGAAGTTGAGCTAAGTAGCACAGTCCTAGAGATATATAGTGAAAATTGTGAATGTAGACATAGCTGAATGACTCCCACTAAGATGTTACCGTGCTGACAGATGCTGTCAGGTGTTTGAGAGGAATCAAGGAAAGGATCTATGAGGACACCTGAAGATTTCTCATAAATCATTCCAAGAACTAAAAATTTATCTTAATGTTGCCTGTCCTATAGCATCTGCGTGATTTTTACATGAAAATTAGAATGAACAACTTCTGAGGGGATTAATATATATACATATATGCATGTAATGTAATTTATATGTGCATATGTTTTTAGATTAATTCTGGTAGCATTAAAGGGCCAAATTAATGCCTCTTTTCCTATAAAAATAACTTTATTATATTTATATATATTTATACATTTATGTAAATTTACATATAGAAATTTATTTTGAAAACCTTGGAAAAAAAATCTTTGAAAATCCTGCTTCCAAAAGTCCTATGTCAATACATTTACTAAAATGTGCTGTTAATGGTCTACTTTTATTTTTTCTAGCACTCCTCTTGCTGATGACACAATTCCTCTGTGAATCCATTTGCAAGATTCTGAAAGCTGAACAGAGAATTTTGGCACTGCACTGGGTAGGAAAAAGGTATATTCATAAAATACATTAATATACACCTTTGAAAAACCAATTACTACATTTGCTGCTTTATAAAAATGAAAGTTTATATGCCTTCTCTTATTTTTAATTTATAAGTAAAATATATGACATATGCATATTAAACTATACTACATAATCTTTTATATTCAGATGACAACTAGATTTGTAATTATAATTTGGAAACTCATTATGAAGGTAATGTCTCTAAACTGGCAGATGATAGCAACATTTCTTTTATTTTTGTTTTCTTAATGAGATACACTTTTCTTGAAGTGAAAGCTTTTTTCTCCATTGAAAAATGTTTTTTAAAACATTTGTTCCTGCTTTTTTGTCATTGTTGCAAAAGAACTATTTTGGTCACAATAGGTAGGTCACATATTTTACAAAAACTTCCATAGGCTATTAAATATCCGGGGTATATTTTTGTAAACATGTACAAAAATGTAATATTGCTCAGACCAAACAGATATTTTCCAATTTGCTTAGCAGAAATATTTAGTGGGCATCTGTCTGTGAGTGCATTTATGAAATGCTTGTTTGTCTTTTCAAAAAAAGTTATACTCTGGGAATAGGAACTGAAAGTTTGACCACAGACCTAGACTTGAAAATCCTCCTATATTCTAGTGGTTGACTTGAAAATCTTCCTATATTCTAGTGGTTAACTTTCATGTACGTGACAGCAGAAAAGGTTGGAGGTAAGGGATCCTTTGTTTAGAAGTTTATCACTAGTAAGATGGAAAGGGAATTCTGTTTATTCCTAAAAAGAATTACGGAAAATGGTCTTTTTGAATAGTGAACTAAAATTTATTTATTCATTAATCCACTCTACGGTCTTATAACTTATGTTTCTAGAAGTTCAAGATGTAAGTTTAACTGTGAAAACCTTTAGAATCAATTGTTGCTGTTACCTTCTTTAAAAATTGTTAAAACCTAAATTATATCCTTAAAGTATTTATAAACAAGACTTCATATATTTAGGGACAAATGAAATAATAAAACATGGAAGAAAACATTGTGATTAATGGATTTTTATTTTAACAGAAGTGGAGTAAGTCACAAATGGATTATTGCAAATATGAAACTTACGTAGTTTTACAAGTGAAAACCAATATCAATACCATTAAAAGGCAAATGTAAATCTGGGGCCACTTCTAGTAAATATGGCCAACATCACATGTAAAGAGCTATTATTATAAGAAGGCACTAACATCTTAATTTATAAAGATAAACTATAAGAACAAATATTGAGGAATGTAATTCTAATACAGTATACTAATAAAAGAAATGCAGGGTTATGGTTACTATCAAACCAGTAAAAAGCAGTTTGGAATGATAATGTTGTAACAAGAATATGGGGAGATGGGTGCTTTCAATACTGTTGGAAAAGCATTGTATTTGTTCAACTTTCCAGGAAGTGATTTGGCCATCTCTGGTATGAGCCTTACATGTTTCCAAAGCATTCTATGCAATATTTCCACTCCACTAGTTTGGAAAACATTTGGTTACAAGTAATCCAAAAGAGTTTTTTAAAAGATGGAAATTTACATTTTCTCTTTGTGAAGCCTGTGTAAGCAGTTTGGTGCTGGTCGGGTGGCTCCACAGTCATCAGGGACCTAGATCCTTCAATCTCTTACTCTGTTACTCTGAACATGTGATTTTACCTAGTGTTTTAGAATATTCAGAATTGGTATTCCAGTCATCATGTACATGTGCTAGCTACAGGATGGGAATATTACTAGGAGAAGATCATGCTCCCTCTCTTTAAGGAAATCTTCTGCAAGGTGTTCATAGCCCTTCCATTTACATTCCACTGGCTAGAACATAGTCATACAAAAAAGCCATACTTGAAGAGGCTGGGAAATGTAGTTTTTATTCTGGGAGAGGAATCTGGGGAAGTTATTATAGTGGAATAATAAGAGACTGGATATTAGGGCCCAATAAACAATGTTTGGCAGTTTCACTTCCAGGAATCTAACTTAATGAAATAATTAAAGGAAGAGACCAAATAATATAAATATATTTGTTCATTTTCATTATTTTATAATGGGAATAATTTGAGATTGACTAAATTGTCCAGCAGTGGAACAGTAGTTGGATAAATTTGAGTACATTTGTATTATACAGTCAATAAAATATTTTAAAGAATTTTTAAACTCATATGGAATTATGCATAATGTAATATTAAGTCAGAATCCACACTAAAGATACATTGTACTTCTAAATTTGTGTGTGTATACACGTACGTGCACACACACATACATACTTACTTATATATTACAAATGCATAAAAATTAACAGGGAAAATACCTGAAAGTTAATACATCAAATATTAGCTCTAGATCATGGAATCATGAGTAGCTTTAACTTTCTTTCTAGATTACACAGTTGTTTATTTTATACTTATTTTTAAATATTTTATTTATTTGGAAGAGAGAGATCAAGAGCAGGGGGGAGGGGTAGAAGGAGAAAAACAGACTCCCCGCTGAGTAGGGAGCCTGATTTGGGACTTGAACCCAGGACCCCGAGATCATGACCTGGGCCACCCAGGTGCCTTACACAATTTTTTAAATAATAAGTATGACTTCACACTAAAATTTGAAAATACTAGAAGTATGGGATTCCAAAAGGTTTACTGAAGTTGCTTAGTGTTCCTGTTAAAAAGACTACTATGTCTATTCAAGGAGAAATGAATCAGCTTCGCACCCATCCTTTTTGACTTTTTCCTGAAGTCAGGCTGCAGTGAGCTTTCCTTCTCAGTAGAGCAGTGCAGTCACTCAGAAATCTTGACCACATTGCAGCCAGCTGCCTCTTTTAGGTTAGGGCAGACTGAGATACTGTTTTGCAGTTCAGTAGCATGCGGCAAGCTCCTGACAGTTGTTGATAATCATGCCAATTTCAAAGGCAAAGAGCAAAGTTTTAAAGACTTAACTTTCTTGTGTGTGCGTGAGAGGTTGCCCATTGCAGTTCTGGATTAAGAAATGTCTCTTTTTTGTATGGTAAAGGATTTTAAAAATTATAATGTTAAGAGAATATTAAAGAAATGAGAATTTAACTCAAAGCTAAGAGAAAAAATTAAGTTGCAGAGCAATTCATCAGAAATTCTCTGCAGAAATTAAAGTGAAAACATTTCTCCCCTGAACCTAAGTTGACTATACTTTTTGGAATTTATAAGAGAAATATAGTGTTGAAAGTATAGACTTTGAAGACAGATTGAGCTCAGTTCCTGATGGTATCCTTATATCTACTGTTCAGTCTGTTCCTTAACCACTGATTCCTCATGTGTAAAATATAAGTAATAATAGAAGACACTATACCCTGCAAATATTTATCACATGGACACTGGTGTAACTACACTGATTGAACAGTGTAAACTTTAGACTTTAAAGCCCAGACCATTACTAGAAATAGTCACTTTGTAAATAACTGAAGTTTCAGTTCAGTAAGAAGATTACATAATTTAAAATCTAAATGCCCATAATAACATAATCTCAAAATATATTAAGGACAAATTGCCAAAACAGTAAGGAGAAATATGCAAACCCACAATAACATTTTAACCCAGTTCTTTTAGTAATTGATAGAATAAAGTAGACAGAAAACATCTGTAAGGATATAGAGTTGAAAGACAAGTTTAAGAAACTTGACCTCATAGGTATATACAGAACCTTGCATAAACTGCAAAACTGACATTACTTTGAAGAAGACATGAAAAAATTACAAAAATTGCTATATGTTGAGTCATAAAATAGGTCTCAACCATTTTCAAAGAATTGGAATCATACCAGTTTCACTAGAAATCAAGTTGCAAATAAATTTTAGAAACGTATAATTAGAAATAAGTTTCAAGATTTCAAAGAAATCACAATAGTAATTTTAAATATTTTAAACTAAACAAATAGAACTTCTTACATGTTACCAGTATAGATTGCCTATAGGAAGTACTTCCTGGAAAAATTATATTTTAAATAAATCTACTAAGAAAAATAAAGAATGGAAATAAGGAGGCATTTCAAAAAAGCAAAAACAAAATGGAATAAACTCAAAGTAATAAAATCAAGAGTCAATGAAAGCAAGAGCATAATTAATAAAGTGGGAAATAGTCATATGGAGAGGACCAAGAAAGTAAAAAAAAATTGATTGTTGCAAAAGAAGAGCAAGTTTTCCAGTCCTCTGATGAGACCAAACAAGAGAGCAAGTGATAAAGGGCAAATAACCAACATCAAGAATGACAAAGACTACATCATCACAGTTGTGTAAATATTAAACAGACAGTAATGAATATTACAAACTTTATGTTATCAACTTCACATTGGTAAATATGAAGAATTGGATGAATGTTCAAGTTCCTAGAAAAACACAATGTAACAAATTCACTCAAAAAGAAAGGGAGAGGGGCACCTGGGTGGCTCAGTGGGTTAAAGCCTCTGCCTTTGGCTCAGGTCATGGTCCCGGGGTCCCAGGATCGAGCCCAGCAGGGAGCCTGCTTCCTCAACTCTCTCTGCCTGCCTCTCTGCCTACTTGTGATCTCTCTGTCAAATAAATAAATTTAAAAAAAAGAAAGAAAGAAAGAAAGGGAGAACCTGAATAGTTCTGAATAGTTCTATAACCATTAAAGCAATTTAATTCAGTAATCAAAAATCTGCCTATAAAGAAAATTCCAGACCCAGGTAGCTTCACAGACAAATTCAAGGAAGAAATAGTCTAATTTTACATAAGTCTAATTATGTCTAATTTTACATAAGTCTTTTTCACAAACTTACTTTATAAATATTATATAATCTTGATACCAAACTTGACAAGTATGATGAGGAAAAGCATTTACAGGCAAATTCCTTTCATGAATATAAATGGAAAAACCATCAACCAAATATTACCAAACCAAATTCAGCAATATATAAAACGGATCACTAACCATGACCAAGTTGGTTTATTACAGAAATTCTAGGTTTGCTAACACATTAAAAAAAAAAAAACCAAAACCAACAATC